ACTGACCACCACTGAGAAGAGCTTGGCCCCATTCTTCCTACGTCTCCCCTCAGATATTTATACACTGATCTCGACCTTCTCCAGGCTGAACAGGCCCAGCTTGCTTAATTTTTCCTCATAAAATGGATGCTCCAGTCTCTTAATCATATTTGTTGCTCTTTAGGGCTCCTAAGTTTATTGTGAGTGTTCATTAGAAGTGTTTATATCCTTTGAAATCTGCTAATCTTTATTTGTAAGCTTATTGTTAACTGTCAGTTTCTGTATTTTAGAGTAATAACCTCAAGAATGCTTTTAAAGTGTGGTTATGTCATTGAGATTACTGCAGAATGTTAGAGAATTTTTAATCACGTTAAAGTCAAAAGATGAATAATCGCCAGTTCAGCCATTTTGTTTCTAAATCAGATTATTTCCTTTCTGCTTTTACTGCAATCTCTGTTAAAATTTTCTGGTTTGAGCTTTAGCCTGTTTTTCTCCTTGGGCATACGCAGGTTGCGCTTTTGGAAGGTAGAATTGGGATCAAAATTTGGCTCATGAGCATCATTAAAACATTAAAACTAGTGCAACCTTGAGCAAAGGGCATATTTCTTAGTTAATTGGAGGGTAAAACCTCATCCCTAGTGCATCAGCATTAGTAGTAATGTAGATTTTTTGCCAAGTAACTTACAGGAGGCTAGCAAAATTAATGTTTGTGATCCCTAAAGGATTGTTTTAAGAGTGAATACTTGTTTGGAATGTGCTTTTTCCTTTATTCTGCTTACCATACCCCCTTAATCTAATCATAAATTAAGATTTTCTTCTAGTTAAATGTGTGATTTTTTTTTTAAACCTGTGCAGTGAACTCTTGATGACAAATCAGAAGATGGCAGTGCTACTCTGTTTTTCACTTAGTTGTGCATGCTTGTTTGTTCCTCTCACATTTTCAGTTTTCTTGAGTTTGAGCTGAGGTTTTTCTAGGTGGTGACAAGAGCCTATAGTTTTCTTGTTTGCTTGCTTGTTTGTTTTGTCTGTGTCTGTGTGTCAGTTTTACACCTTAATCTATTACATTAAGTGGTAGTGTCTGTTGTAAAATCTGGTGAACATAAAGCCAGCATTAGATGAGAAGGGGAGAAAATAACTAAGGATCTGGTATGTTGCCCACTAGCATGAAAGTTTGGTGGTTTTTTGATGAAATTATGTAGCAGATTTGTAGCATTGTGTGCAGTGCTGAATAGTGTCTTGCAATAAGTCAGAAGCAACAGAAGCCATGTTTTGTATACAAGCAGCAACTTACTCTGCGCTTCTATAAGAATTTAAGATTATCACAGGGTTTAAGAAGTGAAGTTTAATTTCTACTGGCTGCTAATATGTGGCCGAGATAGTAAGAACAATATGCTGTGTAGGATGCAGTCATTAAAAAGGCCAACTCTAAGCACCCAGTAAGCATTTGGAGGGTATTTTTAATTGGGATATTCCTCCCCTGCAAGAAGTCCTTACCTAAGGATCCTCACTGGAAACTTTTTTGTTTCCAAGGTTCTAGAAAACTTTAAGATTTGCTTACTCTTATCCTGGTTTCTCCTGCCTTTATACTCCCCCGTATCTCACATATTATTGGATTTGGGTAGCTCTCTCAGACTTAAGTGCTAACCCATGTTGCTGCAGAACTGGTTTTAGTGATATATAACGTTGACTTCTTTTGACATGATGAGGCTTTTAGCTTTCAAGCCAATTAATTGTACTTTTGGCTTTACTTCCATGTGTTCCCCTCTCCCATGCCCTGTCTTCATACTAAACTTTATTTTTTAGACTTGCTTGTCTGATCATGTAGAACGTGCAAACCACAGATCTCTGTTCTGAGAATTTTGTATTTATAAACCTGTTATTACCATGGGCTATATGCTGAAACCTGCCAGCTCATAGCAAACAGTGTATTCGGTGTCTGAAGTTTCTCAAAGATCTTGTTTTCTCTGCATCTGTAACTTGCTGTCCGTGCTGTTCGTTTGTTTTATCAAAACTGCTTAAAGAGGTGCAAAAGAGTATCTTGGGGTAGGAGGGAATAAAGAAATAGAAGCTGATCAAAAATGTGTGAGGGTAGGTAATCTAAGCAGAGAAGAGTATGAGGAGTTTGGGCTTTAGGGACAGAAGAAGTTTGAGAAAGGGAGGAGCAACCACACTAGTCTGTGATATTTATGTTAGTAGCTGAGCGAAAAGGAATCTGAGCAGTTCCATATGAAGGGGAGGGAGAGGTCTTCCCTTCCCCAGCTTGTGGTGGAAAAAGCAAAGTTTGGACAGTTTGTGAAACAGGAAGTGGTACGCTAGGGTTAACCGGTGAAGTGTGAGACAGCAGGGAGACCACATAGCCTTTGGACTGGGCACCGTTCTGAATGTTCCCAACTTCCTGGACAGCACTGCCACGTACCCAGAGCTGTGAGTCCRAGAGGACGGAAGCAGGCGCTGCAGTGACCGGGATTCCCCTCCCGAGCTGCCGCATCCTGGGCGGGCTGTGATCACACATGGTGGAGGTGGTTGCTCTCCCACAGAGGCTTATGAATGAGAGGGGAAAATATGAAAATAATATCTCTCTTTTGAGTTTTTAAGTCCCCCCATCCCTTTTCTTTATCACTGCATTTTAGAATCTAATAATTTTGCAAATTTGGTTTGGTAGTGCTGTATCTACTTAATATTCTTCTGTTAAAGGCTAACGAGAAAAGGACTGCAAAGTCTTGCAACACTTCTACTTGCTTCTGCCTTTCCAGATATATTTTGGGAGTGGGGAGGACAGCATGCTTGGAGCAGAAGCTGGCCGCAACTTGAACCTCTGATTGCTTTAGGAAACTTTAGAAAAAAAAAAATCGCTATGGAATTTTTGGAAAGCAACTCCACAGAGCCTTTTTGGCCATTCCACGTAGACAGAGTATTTTATTTTAAAAAGCAAGCACTCATCATCAGCTTTTAATCACAGCATTAGCTGAAATCAAGCAACAGATTACAGAGCCTCAATAAAATAAAATGTTCCTAGCAGTTTTTGGTCAATGATGACTTGCACAATGGAAAATTCTTTCCTGCTTTTCGGTATACAGTTGGAAGAAAAATGGCTTTAGAAATGCTTTTACAGGGGAATGTAAACTCATGTAATTTGATTAAAAAAGACCATCTTATCATTATAAATTCTTCCGCTTAGTAAAGTTTAACAGAAAACTAAGTGCAGTTCATTTCTAAGGGAAAATGTTTGATGTGCTTAAACACAATGTTTAAGTATTGTGATGTCCTTCACACACACAGGACAATGCTTTTCCCATGAGACAGTTATTGACCTTACCTTCCATCCTGTTTGAAGAGAAGCTTTTAAATAGAATTTAAGGGGTTCTTCCAACCTAAAATCTGTCATGGAGCTGTCACAGAGCTTCCAGGAACAGCACTGCACATTAACTGCGTCTTCATGGGGCTGGGCTCAGGCATTTAATTTTGAATAATTTATACAAATTATGCTTGCCAGAGGGATTAGAATTTCCTTTTATGTGGTTTTGATGAGACGTTTTGTAACCAAACCAGGACTAATAGTGACATCCTACTGTTTGCCTCTTTCATTGTGGTAACAAACATATGAATTCTCCCTTCCCTCCCCCCTCCCAGGTTAAACTTAAATTGCATGTGCATTTTGTTCTGATGCATTTAGAACATGCATTAGAACAAAAGTAACAACAAAAGCCTTAGCCATGAGGATTATTCTTGTCAGAGAGGAAAAACACTGTAATTTTTTTAAGTGGTGGGTTTTTTTATATGAACATGGGTATTTTTACTCAGAACATTATCTAAGCCTTTTCCTCTTGAATTGTTAAAGGAATAAGCTGGCATCCTCAGTAGCTGTTGACGTAATGGATATTGTGGAAAATGTTTATTGAGCCTTTCTGGTTTTTGTATGTGTAATTATTTTATGTAGTGCTTTTGTTTTATTAGACTGCCATGAAGAATTGTTACTTTAGGGCAGAGTCTACCTCACTGCTGTCCCATTTAGGAATTTTGGGAAGAGGCAGGATTTTTTACTTGCCACGCCTGCGCTGAAGAACAAAAATCTCTAGGTGTTCATGAAAGAAATACTTCATGTTTTTCCTTTTTTTTTTTCTTTCCCACCCACAGCTTTATAACTGTATACATATGCTTAATAAGCATATATCCTTACATATTTAAAACTAGTGGATTCTTAAGATTTTTTTCTAAGATGTTAGGATACTGCTACCATAATGTGGCCTGCAGAATAAAACCCAGATTTTTAATTTGTTTTATTACTTAGGCTGTCACCAGGCTAGGAATCCACTTGGGTTTTGCAGGTTTTGTCTTTATGGAAGATTTGCCCAAGCTTAATTCTTTCCATATGATATTCTTAGTCCTTTATGTTAAATCAGTTTCAGTGCAAGTTTATTTTCATTGTGGAATTTCTGGGGATTGCTATAGCTGACCTAAAAGCTCTTTGGATGGGCCGAATCAGGATTAAAGGTTAAGTTGGAGTTGGGATGCCGGGACTGCTTCCTAGCTGTGCTGCTGGGGCTTTTCGTGATGTTTGGTGAGATGGTTACGCCAAAGGTGTGACATCCTAGAGCACTCGGTGATGTGACAAAGCCAGAGAAGGCTGCAGCTTCCTGAATAGCAGAGCTGATCCTGTGGCTCTCTGCTGCCGGGACAGGAGGGGAGGTTCTGGTCCTCCCTTGCCTTTTGTTACAGCTTGCCCTGGCTCCGAAAATAGAAGAATTTTTAAAAGGAGGCTTGGAATTTGAAATATTATCATGGTGCTAAAAGTGAAGGAAAGAAGGAAGGTAGAGGGGAACTAAGGCATATCATGCTTGAGGCTGCTCAGATCTTTTTTTTTTTTTTTTTTTTTCCCTTAAACCCTGCATGGTTGGCATTTGAATTACCAGTCCCGGTGACTTGAGTGACCAAGACACAATAAGGACCACTATGCTGTTTAACCATATTTTAATTAAAATATTTTGTCTGGTTTCTCAAGATAGGCCTTTTTCTTTCTTCTTGCAGGTTTTCGTAGCTGAAGGAAAATGATGGAAGAAAGTGGAATAGAGACAACTCCACCTGGCACACCCCCACCAAGCACAGGCGGAGCTGCTGCTTCTGCTACACCTGTATCACCAGGTACGGGAACTTGCACATCAATTTGGCTGCATCTGTTCATGTGTATTGAAGCACAGCAATTCATCCTGTCCGGTCCTGTTCAACTTATTCATTAACGACCTGGGTGAAGGGCTGGAGTGCTCCCTCAGCAAGTTTGCCGACGATACCAAACTGGGAGGAGTAGCTGATAGCCCTGAGGGCTGTGCTGCCATCCAGAGGGACCTGGACAGACTGGAGGACTGGGCGGCGAGAAACCTCATGAGGTTCAACAGGGGCAAGTGCAAGGTCCTGCACTTGGGGAGGAATAACCCTGGACACCAGTACAGATTAGGGGTGGACCTRCTGGAGAGCAGCCCCGCAGAGAGGGACCTGGGTGTCATGGTGGACGACAAGTTGACCATGAGGCAGCAGTGTGCCCTGGTGGCCAAGAAGGCCAACGGGATCCTGGGGTGCATTAAGAAAAGCGTCTCCAGCAGGTCGAGGGAAGTGATCATCCCCCTCTATTCAGCCCTGGTGAGGCCACATCTGGAGCACTGCGTCCAGTTCTGGGCTCCCCAGGACAAGAGGGATGTGGAGCTGCTGGAGAGAGTCCAGCGCAGGGCTACCAGGATGATCAGAGGCCTGGAACATCTGCCCTGTGAGCAAAGGCTGAGGGAGCTGGGCCTGTTCAGCCTGGAGAAGAGGAGGCTGAGGGGGGACCTGATCAGTGTSTATAAATACCTCAAGGGAGGCAGTGAGGAGGAGGGGGGCGGCCTCTTTTCAGTGGTGGGCAGGGATAGGACTAGAGGAAACGGCCACAAGCTGAGGCACCAAAAGTTCCACAGGAACTTAAGGAAGCATTTCTTCACTGTGAGGGTGACAAAGCACTGGAACAGGCTGCCCAGAGAGGTTGTGGAGTCTCCTTCTTTGGAGATCTTTAAAASCCGCTTGGATGCAGCCCTGTGCCMCGTGCTCTAGGTGACCCTGCGTGAGCAGGGGGGTTGGACTCGATGACCTCTGAGGTCCCTTCCAACCTTCGGCATTCTATGATTCTATGATTCTATGATCCCCAAAATGTTGCAGTTGATACAGTCACAGTACTGTCCCGCAGATTAATTGAAAATTTAAATTGTTTATTAATTGTGGAAGTGTTCAAAATGTTACACTCTTCCATCATTCAGTCTCATTGAAGTACTAGATTTTCTTCACATATCTTTACTGGTTTAAATCTATCTTTGTGAAATGAAAAGTGAAATTATGTCTGAAAAAGAGCATTGAGACTGCAGTTGAGTGTAGAAGCAGATTTAATGATACTGGGCAGAATGAAGAGCTCTTATGCAACACTACCTTTTCCCAATTTAATCTTCTGTTATCTCAACAACATTTGTTTCAACTATTTTTAAACTGTAAGCCCTTTGCTAACGTATTTTTCACTCTTTCTGTAATTCTGCTGTATATTCTTATTCATATGAAGAGAATTATTTTACAGAACTGAAATAAAATGGTCACTTAAGTGGTAGCAATTAACATGAGGATACTCTAGAAGTCCAGGACAGAACATACAGCAGCATATATTTATACTTGTAAGCTTAAGTAAAGTTCAGTTAACTTCTGTATAAGTCAAGATTTCTTGACTATTCCACATCAGCACTAATGCAAAAGTAAGTTGTCATGTTCTTGTAATAGCTGGGCACTTTCTCCTAATTCCTATTTATTCAGGAGTGAGTAACCAGAAAGTTTTGGGCAGGCTTCAGCTGCCATGAATTCAGTAGTCAAAGGTTGAATCGTTGTTTTTTAGCTTATGACAAATAAGCAGGAAAGAGGGACATGGTGTATAATATGCTACTCAGTTTTTGGTGACAGTATCAATGTTGTGTGCAACTAAGCAGAACTGAAATTCATTTTGAAGAGTGAGGAAAAACTTGTTGAGCAAAACTGTTATTTATTGAAATATTTTAGAAATATATTTTTGAGTTTAATGATCTGTCTTTCTAAATCTTTTTTTTCCTTTTTGTCAGCTTTGTCCAGTCCCCTTGCTACTACACCAAGCATGTTGTCATCTTCTGCGTACTCTTCACCCTTACCAGCTGCAGTGTCTCCAATTCCTCCTGTGATGACTTCAGCTCCTCTTTCATTTGTGCCTTCTGCAACTGTTTCTACTATTGCTCCGCCTCTGACTCCTACCCCAGCTCCTGCTGCATCTTCAGCTTTCAGTACCTCAATGCCCCAGTTCTCTACACCACCTCCATTAAGCTCTACTCCCGGCCCTGGTCTTCCTGCACCACCTACTGGTCCCCCCATTTCAGGATTTTCCATGACTTCAACTTATGACATTACCAGAGGTCATGCTGGTCGGGCACCACAGAGCCCACTGATGCCATCGTTTTCAGCACCTCCAGTCACAGGTAACCTTTTGTTCATGCTCTTTGTGTTTCTGAGAGGGTATTCTGGACAGCCTGTTCTGCTGCTCTACTAGGCTCCTGCACATTCAACTGCTGTATTTTTCCAGGTGCATCTGGTTAACGTAGCTGTGTGCAGAAGTGACAGTAGCCTTTAAAGTACAGTCATAATCTAGGTCAGAGATTATCCTTTAGGAGAATTCTCTTAATGTCAGAGGATACAGAAGTATCTCTATGAGCTGTGTTTTTGATTAGCTTATGCACGACAGCTGAGCTGTACGTATGTGTACAAAATTTGTTTAGACCAGAGTAGAGTTCAGCCATTATACTTCCATGACTTCAAATTGCCATAATCTCATAAAAAAAGGTGAAAATTATGTACAGCAGATACTTGTCGCATGACACAAACTTCTATTTCCATTTTTTTTTCCAGCCACTGAATTGCATTAAAACTGCTAAAAGACTGCATGTCTTCCATGCAATCAAGTGCTATACTTGCTGAATTGATGCCATTTTCTGCTAATGGGATAGAAACTTGGCCATTCAGCTGTGATTGGTTTAGGCTTTTAAAATTGTTACTGATACATTTTAAAAGTGGCGTGCGTTAGGAGGATGTTTGAAAAGTCCATTGGTTGTGCAGTGTAAAATAAAAGGCTCCCACTTAAGGCTAATGTTGCGAAGGCTATTCAGATAGGCTTGAGTAGTGGGGTAAAGACTCATACTTTTAGTAATTAAGTTTCTTTTGTTTCCTTTTAAACAAGTATATCTTTTTTTTCCCTCTTTTTCTACTAAGTTTCTGCACTTAGCTTTCAAAAATTTCATACTTGTATTTTTTTTTCTTGTTATGTGTGAGAACATTTATATATCGTTGCTTAGAGAGCCACCCATTCCTATTCCTATATTGAAGAACTACTTTTCCTAAGATAAGAATACAATAGGAAGCACTACTGTTAAACTAACCTGCTAAGGAAATTGATGTTTAAATTTATACATGATGTCCAGGCAGGGCAGTCTCAATTCTATTAGTAGACATTGTCTGCTTGTTTATGGTAGTTAAATTTGCTAACATTGAACATACAGAGCTAGTCTGAGTCCTTCAAAATATAAAAGTGGGTCAACCCAGTATTCTTCTGTTCTTCCTGCTCATTTTGTTAAGAAATTCACTAAAGTAAATGAACACTTTTTTTCCCTCCCTCTTGCTAGGTGTTTTGACAGATCCTGTTACTCAGCAAGCAACTTTCTCATCACCTTTGGTTCCTGGAACTGCAGGTGGCTCTGCAATCACTTTTCCTGAGGAGCATGAAGACCCTCGAATATCTACAGCCCAGAGTGGAGCTGCTGGTGGAGGACTGTGGGGATTTATAAAGGTACTTTTCATGAGTATGCTTCATAATATACTATTTTTTCTTGTGCCTTATATGCAAAGTGGCTATTTTTTAATAATAGTGTTTGTTGCTTTGCTACGCTTTTGACTTTCTTTTATAAGAAGAGGAGGCATGGCATGAATAGATGTTATAGGCTTGTTTTATTTCTTGTAACAGGAGGATATATATATTTCCACGTTCTGTCAGTGTTGTGTAAATCGGTTGAAACTTGAGAGATTAAGGTTCTAGAAGGCTCTAAGACTTGATTCTTATCTTTTTGCAAATCCAGTCACTGTGAAGTAAACTGATTTACCTGCTCAGATTTCTTTAGATATATAAATATTACCTCCTAATGAACTGAAGTGTATTTCCATGGAATACAAGTCTTTTAACATATCAGTCTCTTAGGTGAGAGACAAAAAACCCTATCTCTTCCATCAAAGGAAATTTTATCTGAAAAGTCCCTTAAAATACCTTCTACTTCTACTCGCAAGCATAACTTATATAGTACAGAGTAGATGCTCCAGAACAGTCCGGTCATCACGAGCAGCAACATTTACTAGTAAAATTCCAGCCGCCTTACCTATGTGGAGCTGTGAAAGATGTCACCTATAAGCAGCATCAGAAGAGTGGGGTGGAGGAACACTGACTTGTGTTTAAGAGCAACAGCATTTTCTGTTATAGCTCAAACCAAATGTGAAGGGAGAATAAGGATTGGTTTCCGAACAGGAGTGAAAGTCTTGGAGAAACTTTCAAGATCTTTAGTACATTCAAAACTGAGAGTAAAAGTGTTTTTTGATATGACAGACTGTTAGCCTTGACTTCAGTAGTRTATCTCTTGACAGTGATACAGTCTTAAAGAGCTAAATTAATCTTTCGTCAGTGCATTGGGACCACAGTTGTTACACTGGATTTTCCAGAGAAAGATGTCTTCTCATAACAGTGAAATATCTTCTTTCTTTCAAATAATAATGTCCTCCTGAAATTTATGGTTAATAGAAATAGAAAATACAGATAGAAAAAAAGATTTTTCTTCATCATTGTGCCATATTGTGCCCTTGATGCTTTCAGCAAATGTTGATATTCCATATTGATTCTGTTGCTTTGTTGAAATACTAGTGCTCCTAATTAAAAATTAGTTGACAAGTCAATTCCATCCACATTGTTTTGGATTGCAATTCAAAAGGTATCCTGTCTTTACTCTTGAAGAAAGTGCTTATCTCGAACACCAGGACTAAAAACTAAATTTGAGGTTAAGTATTAAGCGCTCTACTTTTGGAGTGTTCTCTTACCTCTTTTTGAGAATTTCTAGTTTGAGGGAATGAGGAATTGCTAGCTATGCTGGAAGCATTAGGTTCTTGATGTCTGTAATGAGCACATATCAGTCTCCGTACTCTTCCAAAGATCTGCCAGAATCAAGGAAACAAACTAAGGTTCAGTGTAGAAATTCATCCTGGATTCCTCGTTAACTTGCATATTTAAGTTTTTAGCATAGCTAGCCTTGTTTCTACTCCTGAAATAGTCTGAGCAGCCCCTCCCCTAATGTTCTTAAAAAATTATAAATCTTTCTTCTAGATTTCCTTTCCTAGATAATATCCAAGGCTATGAAAGTCAAAAATTGACAAGTAGTGGACCAGAATTAAGTGGAGCAGTCTCCGTTCCTTGGCTCTGTCAAAAATGTCTAAGCCTTAATTGTTTAGTTTTCTTTATCCAATTGTGTCTTCAAGGTGAGTGCTCTGCACAACAGTGAGGATATCTGGACCCAGGAACAAAATATTTCAGTGTGAGGTGTGAGATATGGCAATACTTCTTACTAGCTGTACAGTATCTCCCTAGTCTTAGGAATGTGTGTTTTTGTTGTTGTTTGCTAAACTTGCAACAGAGAAATAGAAAACATTTGTACTTAACAGGGGAAAAGCTTTGCTGAGCAGCAGTTTGGTTATTTCAAAATAACTTCTCTAATTCTGCAATTTGCTGAGATATTGTATAGGTAAACTAAGCAAGTACATTGCACGACAATGGATGTGTATGGTGCTCTTCTGTGTAATGTCTGCCCTTTAGTGAAGCAAATATAAACATGTGCAGTTGCAAATAGACCGCTTCAAATCTAATATTGCTAAAGAAATTACATAAAGTTTTCTGCAAAACAGTTTCCAGTGATTCCAGTGATTCTCTGAGTGATTCCTTGTTAGTGTCATTTTTTCTTTCACTCCGTGATCTTATATGAATTTCTATAAATTGTTGTGAAGAGATGCAGGTGTTCATTTGGATTATTTGCAAGGGACAGGACGGAGTTTGTATTCTTATTTAATGAACTTTTAAGTCTGACAGCAGCTCCACCTACGATTTGGCTGGAGAGTATAGAATATCTTTCCAGTATTGTTCAGAATCTATTTATAAATTAAGAACTTTCAGCTCTGTTGCTCCAGAAGTATTTGTTAGTAATGGGCCATTCAAAAATAGATCCTATTGTCTTTAAAAAGGTTAGAAAAAAGATTCTTCAGCTTAAGTTTAGCACAGTCCAAATCTAGTCTGATGCCTGTAATTAGTTTCAGGAACCTACGATTCGGTGCTCAAAGCCCATGGTCCCAGAATATGATTAGATATATCGTGATCTGACATTGATAGGGATGTTCTTAATCACTTAACTAATGTGTTAATGCAGACAATGATGATAAAGGTGATGTCTGGACTAAAAGTTGTAACTAAAACAGTCACGGAGTTATAGACCCCTCCTGGAACATGTACTGAGAACTTTTATGCAGTAGGTGCTACAGAGTGCACCTGTGGTGAGAAAAAGCCAAAGTACTTTGATGTTTGAAAGTGTAGGGGTGGGATTTTTAGTGGTAATATCTTTGGGCTTCTGGGGAAAAGGGCAGAAGATTAAATATGCGAATCTGTTTCTTGTATTTAGGGTGTAGCTGGAAATCCCATGGTGAAGTCTGTTCTTGATAAAACCAAGCATTCAGTAGAGACCATGATCACAACGCTGGATCCTGGCATGGCTCCATATATCAGTATGTATTTGTGAAAAATGATTGAAAATTAAATGCAAACCTTACCTTTTTTCCACAGTTTGTCAGTTTCTCTATTTGAGTCTTCTGCCATCATACAATATGGGGTTTAAAATACAACATCTCTGCCAGTCTTGTCAGATGAATGACATACATGAATATTACTGTGTAGGTCCTCAGGTTCAGCGTAGAAGAATCCAGAAGGCAGTAGAAAAGCTCAAAGAGGCATAGGGCCGAGGTATTTACCTTTCTTTTGAGACTTGCATCTGTCCTGCAGCTGCTGCATGTTTTTAGTCCAGTAATAATAATAATAATAATAATAGGAAAATTGGCAAGTCTAAAATAGTTCCTGATGCCGTTATTTGGATAGTTTAAATTTTAAAATAGTGTAGTGAAGTTGAAGGATTGCTGAGCATTGAGCCTGCAAGGGAAAACCACTACATTTCTGTTACAGCTTGAAAATTTCTGGGAGGTAATGACTTGTGTGGTATGTGTTTGGTTGTTGTTTGTTTGGGGGGTGCGTGTATGTGCAATTAGAATATATTACATTTCACTTCAGAAGTGATCTGAAATTGCTACTTCATTAATACATGGAAGTAAGTAAAGACGTAATTTGACCAAACCTGTAGTCTTCAACTAGTAGTACTGGCACAAGCAGTCTCCCTCTTTGTGTGCCAGTACAGCATTTTGTCCGGATGTAAAAGAAGCAGATCAGGAAGCTGATCTGGCTGAGAGGTAACTATAGCATTTTTTATTTTTTGTTTGTTTTTCTGGGTGGTTCTTCAGCTGGACATACTCTGTGATCCAGCTAACCACATGGCTGCACTGTTTTACTAATACATCACACAATGTGGAATAAAAGGGGAAGGTGACCTAATTACTGAATAGTAGTTAATGCTCTTAAATTTAAGTGAAAACATCCCAGCAGCTCACTAACGGAGAGACAGTGGGATATGAAATCACTGAGAAAGTATTTGCTGACAGGGGGAGCTGGGGAACAATGCAAAGCTACAGTAAATGTTGAATGTGCACAGTTTAGGGAACTGTAGTTAACATTTGCCTTAACGGTTCTTTTTTAATATGGAATTTTTCATGATGTGGTGAGAGATCTCTGGGTGGTTTGGCACAGCATTCATCAGTTTGAATAGCGTTATCTAAAGTGAGAAACCATTAATAAAATGGTTTGCTTGTCAGTTCAAGTAAGTGAATTCTGTGTTTTTTCTCTTTTTTTAAACTTTCTTTTTACAGGAACTGGTGGAGAACTAGACATAGTTGTTACTTCTACTAAAGAAGTAAAAGTAGCAGCAGTTAGAGATGCCTTTCAAGAAGTCTTTGGAATGGCTATTGTTACTGGAGAGGCTGCACAGTCTAACATTGCACCACAGCCTGTGGGCTATGCTGCTGGATTAAAAGTAAGTAGATATATAACAGCACTAAAGGCATTGAAAAGAGATTATTTCCAATGCAGAGAGCGTGGAAATGTTCACCGTGAGGAATCACATTTTCCATAAAAGAAAAATGAGTTTAGAGTAGTAGTAGTAAATCTTTCTTTTTTGTGCCATCTGAATTACTGCGTCTCTTTGAAGCTGCCTTTGGGAAATGCAAACTCATTCACAGCAAATGAAGTGTAGAAATATGTGGGTGTTTTTTTTAGTACTGTAATCAATTGCCACTCTATTCAGGATTCCTTTTGTGATAATACTGTAGTTTCAAAGTACATTAGACTTTTGTCCATCTATTGCCAGCACAAAATGTTATGAATACTAGAAATGTGAGGAGACCCTGAGGAGACTTTTTCTCCCCCCTAATTCTGTACACCAAACATAGTTTGGTCAACGCATATCACAGTGGTGACCCTGATGTTTGAGAAATGAATGAAAGTGTATCCAGTTTGTAGTATCAACCAGAGAAAGCAGAGCAAAGTCTGTGTTTTATAGAATGATTAATGAGAGTTGTATACCTGTGTTGTGCTGGTCACCCTGATTTCCTTTTTATCTTTACACATGGATGAGGGTATAGGTAGAACCTAATGTATTTAACTATAGTGCAAGATTTTCAAAATTATTAGATTCAAAAATAGATATACAGAGGAAGGAGGAAAAAAAGCTATTGCAGTGCAACCATTTTTSTAGTGGATCTGGTCCATGTCCTGAGTTTTGCTTCTTCTGATGTTCTTACTCCAGCAGTAGGCATGTTAAATAATGACTTTAACAGTGTCTTTCAGTAGCAAAGCTGAAGTTTCTTATGTTTTTTTGACTGCTTTTTCCTATTTAGGTTGTCCTCTGCAGTTAGTGTTCTTTGGGTGTACCTAGGTGCAACAGCCTCCTGGTAAATAGCTATAAAAAAAACCTGCAAAAACAACCTGGTATCCTAATTCTTAAATGCAAATCACATATACTTTAGCAGGGAAGTATATTTTCATGATAGCTCCCCCTGGGGGGAACACTGACTGGGCAGTGTTCACAGAGGTAAACTAATATATATTAGCTGATGTATATTAGCATACTAGCGGATGCATTAGCTGATGACAAATTTATCATCAGGTAAAGGAGAATAAGGTACAACTTGCAGACTTGTTTGGCCACTTCTTTATGGTATTTGTATTGCTGTTACCAGTTGATAGTATGCTGGAGTGAATGATTTCTAAAGAGACAAAGAAGTTCTCTCCCGTGATGCTACAAAGTTGATCTAAAGCCCAGGCATAATAAAGGATTTAAAACAAGCAAGCTTTAAACTGTAAGAATATTTTTCTAAAAGAAAAATATCCTGGCACTTTAATTGATAGTGAGACTTGGAACAGTTACATATTGGGAGTTTTTTGCATGCTAACTTAAGTCTCTGTCATGGAAAAAAAAACAAGCTACAAATAGCTACAAATGCTTAATTAGTTTTCTTTTTTCATTTTATTGTATTTTTTATGTGTTTCCAGAATTCTGGAATGAGCTGGAGTTTTTTTTTTTTTATTTGGCTTCAAAATAAGAGTCATTTTTCCAGATCTCTGATTTTTTTATGTATATTTTTATATATATATATGTATATATATTCTGCCTAATGTGAGAAGTACATTCCTCTAAAGCTGTGTTTACTCTTCTTTAGTGTACTGCATTGAACTTAAAGCAGAATTTTGTCTAAAAGCTTATGTTACCATTTAGGGAGCCCAAGAAAGGATAGACAGCTTGCGTCGGACTGGAGTAATACATGAAAAACAGCCTACAGTATCTGTTGAAAACTTCATTGAGGAATTGCTTCCTGACAAGTAAGAACCTCAAATACTTTCTTGGGTGGGAAGAAAAAGGAGTATTCTTTTTGACTAAAGAGCATCTGTAAAGAGGTATGTTAGCAATAACCCCTTGGGCAGAAGGAGAAAACCAAGTCTGTCTACAGTATTGCTTTGTCAGACTTGATTTTGGTAGTGCTGTTCGGCTATTTGTCCAGGGAGTCTTGACAGTTTAATAGACAAAATTGTCAGATTTATCAAGATCCACAGTAATAAAACATGGTGAAGTTATTATGTCACTGAGAAAGGTAAAAAATGAGGCACTTAAGGACATAGTTTAGTAATCATGATATTGAAGGGCATACGGTTGGACTTAATGGTCTTGAAGGACTTCTCAAACCATTATGATTCTATGTTAATATGACAATTTGGCTAGCAGCTTAATCTTTCATTCACTTTGTGAAACTGTATGCAAATCAGGAAGTATATAGGGAGTTAGTCTGACATTTGTAGTAATATGATTATATCAGATAGTGCATGAGCCATTTTCCTTTCACCAGCGATATACTTTTCATTTTCCTGCAAAAATAATTGTTTCCTTAAACATCATACTACAATTCAAATTTTTAACATGTTTTTTGACAAACATTTTTACCAGCACATTAAGGACAACGTCATGTTTGTCTTAATTTCTGTAAATGACAAATTTTGAACTTACTGTTCATCTTTGCGTTTTTGTCAGGGTCTTTGTTGGTACTTACTCTGCTTTTGCTCCCGTTCTAAAGGTACATTAGCATCTCCAGTGGAAATGTCTCATGCGTGGTTTTTCTAAAGTAAATGTAATTAGGAAGTATTAGTTTTTCTGCTTTGTATTTAGTTTTCGTGTTCCATTCTGATTTAGATGATTTGTCCTATTGCCACAAAGGAGTAACTATGACAAGAAGATCTGTTTCAAAATAATTAGACAACGTTTTCAGATTTAAAAAGAAAATTTATAAGTATTCAAAATGGGAGGAGCTGACCCCGGACTTCCTTCTCATTGGAAGGAGTGTTAACTCCTCTGTTCACAGATAGCAGTCCCGCATAAACATTCTATACTTTTGAAACTAATTAGAGCAGAAACAAAGAATAGCTTAATGCATACTTTAATTTTCATACAATAGGAGATACTGAAAATGCCCTTGCATAGTGTTACGAAAAACAGTTGGAGTATTTTTAACCCTTTGATTCTGCAATGGCTTCCAGTCAAGGTGGTAGTACATGATTTGTAGTGGTTCTGAAATGAGTGGTGGTGTTCTGAAATGAGTGGTGGGGGATCCAGTCTAGGTTTTAAGATGCTGCTGAATATACCCAGGTGTGTTTGGTGGAAGGAGGAATTTCCAGGTAACCATTCCAGTCCTAGGAGCCTCCTTGTCTAAGTCGGCACATCAGTCTGTGCTCACAGCTGAACTTCTCAGTCATGCTTTAGCTGTCTGAAAGATACTGCTTCCCTATTCAATTTCATATCCCAATTACTATTTGCAGAGGAAGTTGCAAACTCTTTTATGTGTATACTTCCTTTTGGACTCTAATTCCTTTATTAATTCAAAGCAAGATCTGTAACTATGGACCTTTCTTGGCAGTCTTTTTTAGTTGCATGCAAGAATAATTACCACAGTGCATTCCTGTGCTCTGTTCTCTACAAAGGTACAAGTAAATGCTTCTTCCTGAGTGACTCTTGCTTTTGTGCTTGTATTTTTCCTGTGAAGAAGGATATTTCTTCTGTGGCAGCTCTGCTGTTGTAAAAACTCTGCAATGGGAGTTGAATAAAATAAGTTAATGATGATGCATTAGCCTTGGTTTTGTTTGTATCATGTCAGTGTTTGTTGATAGGGAGAAATTATTTAATGTTTCTGCAAGCTAGACAGGGAAACATTTCAGATACTGTTTCAGTAACCTTTACTGGAACACACAGTGTCTTTTCTGGAAGATGCAGAAATGTTTCTCTGAGCAGACCATTCAAGTGATTGTAATAAGATTAGACCTCAGAAGACCAGTAACGTCTTCTGAATATAGAGCAGTAATGAAAAATAGGGATCTTGATAAGTGGAGGTTATGTTAAAGAAAATTACTTAATCTTACCAAGAATGTGTAAAGACTGTAGGGTAATAAATGCCTGAAGGAATGTACAAGAAGAATCAGTACCTCTCCCCGCCAGCATTCCTTGCTTCCTTGTAATCAACATGCGTTTTAAATAAACCATATATATATGTTGCAGTGTTCTTCAGTATTAGCTGAAGAATTATCAGAACCCATTAATGAAGCTCATTATTCCATATAACTATGTTTGTTTGAGGTTCCCACTGGAGCGGAAGTAACTTACATGTCTTTGCAGGTGGTTTGACATAGGCTGTCTGATTATTGAGGATCCAATTCATGGAATTCATCTGGAAACTTTTACCCAAGCAACGCCAGTGCCTTTGCAATATGTTCAGCAGGTGAGTTGTCTTATTTCTTCCCAATATAGGCTTACTAGTTGAGACACAACATGTAGATTTTAATTTAAGTTATGATGCCGGTTCTTGCTGGTGATGCTATTGATCCAACCTGCATTTTTTGATTTTATGAAATGAGGATAAAAGTACCTGACAGTAACCATGAAGAGTAGTTATTAACAGCTTTTAACTCCTACTAACCACTTTGTCAAGAAAACTGTTATTAGAGTGTTCTTTTAAGTTTTCAAATTTAAAACATGTATCTCAAGAACATGTAGTTTGTAGTTTGCATAGTTCGATTTCATAAAGGATATAAATAGTGTTCTTAAAAAAATAAGTACTCATTTTCAGTAAAGAAATCTTAGCAGTGTAAAAATTGCCTTAACCTAGTGCATTAAGTGCAGAAGGTGCTCACATACAAGTGGAGGCTTCTTTTCCTTTCCTTGGCTGACTTCTCATGTGCCCTGAATGTCAGCTGAGGTCAACAATGCTTTGTACTTGTGTAGTGTGTGGCAGGCGAGCAGGAATGTAGTAACTGTTCAGGGAAGAGCTTATATTTTGTTCAGTCACAAGCTTACAGATTGAGATCTCAACACTGACATTTTAGTAATGCTCAGAAAACCTAGGTGTTCGGGTTTTATTCAACAGCAAGTGGATAGCATGCTGTATTTGTTACTGTAACTAAAATTCATTCCTCACGAACGGCAGCTACCTTTTTTCAAATTTTGTGTACACTTATTTCCAGCATGAACACATGGCCTCTGACCTAAAAAACAAAGTAGATTTCCTCCTCTGATTCTGCTGTTCTGACAAAGATGTGGAGTTTCTGAAATGGATGAAGTCTTCATTTAAGTCATGGTTCATCCCATTGAAAATAACCCAGTACTGTGCACTTCTTAAATGTAGCCAGTAGAATTCATTTTCTCTTAAGGTTGCTAAGATTTATTTGGCATGCACTGGGAATGGCTCCCAAGTCCAGCTGCTGCATGTTGCCTGATAGCAGATGAGAGTCATACACTAATTAACGCTGGATTAAAATCTCTTTTAAAAAGTGTGTTTCTCTGAAGAATTTCAGAACATAAACTCCTTTAAGTTTGTTCTGAGGGAATAGTTTTGACAAAAAAAAAAGGTATTTTTGTAGTATCAGCCTTAATAGAGTGAACATTTGAGGGATTGCTATTAGTTGTTATTTTTCAGAGCTTTTACAACTTTGAAAACTGCTGAGTGGCAAAAGAGGAAAGTACTGTCTTCCAAAGAATTAGCAGAAAGTATAGAAAAGATAACCTACAGGAATTGATTTATTTAATAGCTGCGACTATTTTAAAAAGTTTTTAGTCTTGTTGTTATGTTTCAGTTGATCTGTGCATAATCTAGTGGTGAATCATACAGTCATCACGCTCTCTTTGTTCTTTGTTACCACTCTGTCCCTTCTAGAACCCTTGACAGATTTCTCTTAAGAACATGCAAGAAACATTCATTCCCTTAAATCTAGTTTAAATCTAGTTAAATCTAGCCTAGTATTAAATCTAGTTTTTAACGTCTTTAAGCAAAACTCAGATTGCTAGAGGTGAATGGCCAGTAATTGAAGCTTCTCACATGCTGGAAGAAGAACAGAATAAATTTATATAGGGCATGCAATGTTTTGTTATGTTACCTATATTAAGTCTTCTATAAGGCAAACAAAAATCTACAATGTTTGTAGAAATTCTTGCTAGCCACATATTTTGCTGGCTTATATATTGGAAATAATGGTAAAAGTACCTGTGTAGGATAGTTAGTATTTTTGCTAATGGGTTAGTACAACAATATACCTTTTGCTACATGCTCTTCAGAGTAGTACAGGTATTTGAACATCAGATATTCAGAGAAGGCTTGGTGAAGCTGGGCTGTGTTGAGGTGAAGTATGAGTGATGATTTTAGGACTTGTTAACAAGATCACCGATAGTTTCAGAGTGACCAGACACTGTTAATGTAAAGTGGATGTGTCTTTCCCAATAGCATATACCAATAGCAAGTTTTCTGAGCCTATAGGGTAGGGTTTTTGATTGCTTACAACTCTGAAGTAAACTTTGCATGCTTTGTAAAGGTGTATTTCAGGGCTTATGTTGAGAACTCTTTTCTGTTAAGAGATCTGATGTCATCTCTGCTGATACAGAGGTTGCAACTATAGTGAGAAACTACTACAGTATTCTTCTATATGAAGTTTACTTGATTTTTGGTAAAAACAGTTCTCATCTATAAAGTTGTGTGCAATTGTGAATCATAATAGGGAATTATAAATCATTATCAACTCCCTCTTAGAGTACAATTAGATGCACTCTATCATCTACATTTTACTGCTGGTACATTCTGAGTAGTGAGAAACTTCCCCTCCTCTCATCTCACTTAGGAAGCCAGCCCCTTATGTGCATCTTGTTAATAACAAAACTTCAGCTTTGACATAGGATGTGTGTGTGTGTGTGTGTGTGTGTGTGCTGTATGCTGTCATTGCTACAAAACAGTAGTGAGGCTGAAACATGCTATTGAACCTTGGCCTGCCTTGTGCGCACTAGAAAAAGATTGACTAGGATCTTTGTCAAAGTGAAATCCATGCACATTTGGTCCTTTCTGTACTGCTTTGAAGACCCGCATAGTATTAAGAGCAGTGATGCTGAGGCTGAAGGCCATCGAGCCTTTCACTCTACGCGGTGTGGCTGGAGGTGGATGACTCGGGTGAGCATGAGAACAATCAAATGCAGTGATACTTCCTCACTGTTCCCCTTCTGCTTCCAACTCCAGTCCTCTGTGGAATTGTTACCCACTTCAGTTTATGCTTCCTCTGTGATCTCATGCAAATAGCTTGGTCTCCTCTTCTGCCAAGTTCAGGTTTCTTGCTGCTATTGGTTATTTGTCTTCTTCGCAGGGACATTTTAACAGTTTTTTTAAAAGCCTTTGGAAGGTGAGAGTCATTGTACAAATATGTATCATTATCAATTCCAGCTGCTGGGTGCTTTAAGAGTGAAGACTGTTTCATGATAATSACAGAATGGCTTTACTTTAAGTGTTGCATTTCAGTTTTAAACTATTCAGATGCCATTTGAATCTTGTTACATGTAAATCCAAAAAGCAGTATTGGCTAGCCAAGTTATAGAGCTAAAATCATTTGCATTGCAGTACCCTCTTAATTTACATGGCATACCAGTCCTAGGAGTATGATTACAGATGAAACTCATTAGCARCGAGCTTAGAAACAAAGCCATTCATTTATTTGTCGCTTAATAACCTCTTCTCAAAATGTTACCCAGGCTCAGAGTCTCACTCCTCAGGACTACAGCCTCAGATGGTCAGGCCTTCTGGTGACGGTGGGCGAAGTGCTCGAGAAGAATCTACCCAACGTCAACAGGACTGACTGGCACCTGGTGTTCACCGGCATGTCCCGCCGGCAGATGATCTACAGCGCGGCCAAGGCGCTGGCAGGAATGTACAAGCARCGCTTGCCGCCCAGGACCGTTTGAAAGAAGGTTGCCCTGTCCCGCTTGAGGAGCACTGCCTGTGCTCCTGGAGTCGAAACCAAGGCTACGTATTCTAATGCTCAGTGGATACAACACAGATTTGTAATCTACCTGTAACTGCATTTTACTTTTAAAGAATTGAAGGTACTTTCCAGTAGTGGGGATAAATAATTCCAGTTTTTAATAACCAGATGATTTCCAATATGATTCACAAAAGAGGAAATTGGAACAGATACATTTATAACTGGGACACATAGCACTACAGATKGTCAAATGGGATGTGCTATTGTTTGACACCTTAATAAGCATTTGCTGAGATATTAAATGTTTTATTTACTCGTGTTTTTAAGGAGTCTCTTTGTTTAGCTTTTACTATTATAGTAGTAATTATAAATACGTTGATAGCATATCTTCTGTATGTGTTTGAATGCAGAGAGACTACCTGCTGTGTTAGATACTTTCTTTGGGTGTGTGTTTAGGTAGTACTTCACACCTGACAGGCTTGGTGTCTGTATTTAAGTTCTCAGGACTGATGCTGGGGAGTTTTTAAACATCTAGCTGTGAGCTGCTTAGGAAGAGCACAAATCCATGCTCAGATGGTTAAAGTCTGGGCAAATCATTCTGAATTTCTATTTTCCATGCTGCAGGTGTGTGATTTTTTTCCACATTGCATTTTCCATCTTCTTTTTTAATATATATAGCTCTTCTGTAGCAGAGATGAAATTYATCTCATTCTAAAACACTAGAAAAAAATCAAGTTGTTTCAGTGAATTTTAGATCAGATGCCACATACACAAGAAGTTATCTCAGCATTGCAGTTCCAGCAACATAATTTACTCCTATATTTCCAAACTTTATGTTTTATATGGAATTATGTGATTTCTTCTATCACGTTGGGGATATTAGCAAGTTAACATGGCACTTGCTATCCTGAATTTTCTAAAACATTTATAAATCTTAAATGTGTGTCTTGATGTTATGGGCTAATTGTTTCTCATGTAAGTCTTGATTGGTGTCTGTTTTTCATAGCTAAGAATGTCCTTTATCTGTGCTCACACAATCTTAAATCTTTATTCAGAAATACAGAAGTAATTCTGAGTGACAATATTTTGGTAAAAATTCTTTTTTAGAAACAAAGAACAAATAATCTTTTTGCCTTAGAAAACTTTTCAACTTATATTGTTCTGCCTTTGCCTTTCTTACCTGCTTTCAAGGAACCCTTTTATATACAATATACTGTAAACCAGCTTGTATTTGTACCTAGTGAAAGGCTGTCTATTTCCAAGTAATATATTTTGCCTTAATTGGCTTCCTCTGTAAATTAGCTGAATAAATATTTTTCCTACATGATTGTGCCTGTTTTAAAGATACATCTTTCAGTGTAACTGGTATGGAGGGTTTATCAGAATTGCAGTATCTTTATCCTGTTTGGCACATATTCTAACATCTGTCTTGTTGGGGTGGGGGGGGATGGAAAAAAGACAAACCCTGAACCTGATTCTTTTAAGGTCTCTTTTTAGGAGTTCCACTGTTCTTTGTATCATAAAGTAAAAGGGTGATACGAGACTTATGTTTGTCAGTAACTGTTTGTGCTTGTTTTGCTGTGATTTCAGTTTGTGGTGTGTAGAGTGAAATACTCTTACTGTTTTCTCCAATTTTCCCTGCTACAGCTTCTTTTATGGTGTAATAGAAGAAGAAATGACCTAGTCAGTAGGTTGAAGTGCTGGCATGCATTAAATTAAAACTGAAGAGGCATTCCTCTTTCCTTCCACCTGTCTGGGCTTGGCTTTGTTGTTTTTCACAGATGTAACGGGAGGCAGAAGAGCCTTTCTGATCTTGCGGCTTCTAGGAGAGCCTGTGTCACTGCGGTGAAGCAGYCCCCCAGCTCTCCTGCGAGGCTGCTGAGGGGACGTCTCTGCAGCTGTCCTCCTCTCTGCTGGGGAATTCTTAGGGCTGTAARATTTCCTCATCCATGAGTCTTCCTTCTTGGATCCAGTGTGTGAGACTGTCCYGTCTGTGCCTTTTCTCCTCAGAGTTAGATGCTGCGATATGAGATGGTTAGGCAGATGGTCTTTCTGTTTTCAAACCTCCTGGCTGTACAAAGGGCTTCAGCTGTGGTTCTGAGGCACCAGCTGATAATTAAAAACCTTCGTTTGATAATTTTTGATCAGTTCCCTCCTTTTGTTAAACATTGTTGCATGTATCCAGAAAATTCTCCTATGAGAGCCAGCAGTTCAACTTCTTCCTTAAAGGTGAAGGAAAGCAAAGGTGCTTGCAGCACGCTCTGCAAAGCTGATTGAATTCTAAGTTACTTCCCCTCTGAGGGAAAAGCCATTTCCAGAGTGTGGGCCACACTAATGCAAGTGAATTGTGGAGTGAGTTAAAGTTATATCCAGCCTTTGAACTGTCTGCTGAGTAGTGTTGTGAACAGGATGGTAGAGAAAGCTCAACAGAGAGCAGACTGACATGACTGTTGAATTCCGTCTGAAATCACCTTAGGAGGGCAGATGTCAGAAGATGTTTGGGTACGTAGAGACAACTCTTAACTGTTGGTTATCATGGGTTAGTTCATGCAGACAGGAATCATGGGAAATGTAAGGAGATCCAGGAAAGTTCCCACATTAGAGAGGAAAGATGAGGAGTGCGGGAAATGGTTGTGAGGGAATCTCCAGACAGGAGGGGGATGAGCTGCATAAGGGTGGCAGAGGGGCTCCACTTCTSTTCCAGATGCGGAATTGCTGTTACCTTTTGTAGCAGGCAGAGCTGATGACGTTTTTTCATGACTGATTCTTTTTCAGGAGGCAACACCGTGTTTTGGAGCTCCTTGCCTCAAAGCTGGCGCTGTTGTCTCTTCGGGAAATACGTGGCGATCAATAGCCCTGTGAAATGCACRTAATTTGGCATGCCCTGCTTGTGTTGTAGCTCCTGCCTTGCTGCGACTGAATTTACGGCACTGTCACCATCGTGGAGAGCGAGGTCAGGCGTGGTGTGCGGGTCTGCACCTGCAGGTAAGGCAGCGAGCGTGTGGTCTGCACTGCGTGCTCTGCTCTGGAGGGGGCACTGGCYGCTCGTGCTGCGCGTAGAGACGTGATGATGCTGAAGCTTCGTGGGATGCCAGCGCGTGGTGTGCGGAGCTCCTTGGGGCTGCAGCGCCAGCAGGGACCTCACTGCAGCCTCGCGGCGCTGCCACATCTCCCTTCCAGGACCTTGCCAAGGGTTAAAAACGTTCAAAATCCGTCATCGTATGCATTTCAGAATATGCTCGAGTCTGATACATCACTGTTCCAAAGAGAGTTCATCTAGATAAATCCAAGTCCTTCCACTTTACGTTAACTTGCAGCAGGCTTTTAAACAGCAGTCCTGACCTTTAAATTCAGTCTTTACATTAAGACACTGCTAGGGATTGCCCATGAACATGGAGTTGCCTGGTATTCTATGGAGCTGTGACTTTTGCAGCTTTTTCACTGTTTCTATGCAGTTCTCATCATGCCAAGCACTTTGGTCCTTTGTACTGGTTAAGGTGGTGTCTATTTAGGCAACTCATAGGTTGTAAAATGGCAGCATATTAGTAGCTGCTGTGGAAAATAATGATTAGCAGGGCTGTGCTAAATTCAGCTTGAATTCCACATGCTAGTAAGAGAAGGGCCAGTGATCTGGAAAAAATATATATATATATTTGTAAGGATTTCTTGGACAGGAGAAATGCTGGATATTTCTTTCTGAAGCTGGAAAATACATGAAAAATATAGTTTACGGGCTTAATGAAATCTCATAGGGAAAGAGAAGCTAGTTCTTTTTGGCTACTGTGCTGAAGAATTTGAAAGTCTGTGTGTGATGCCAGCTCAAAGAGTGAATTTTCCAGTTTCTGCACATGAGATTCTAGTGGATCGTTAAGGAAACTAAAAATACTCTTCCTTTTTTTTCTTTTTTTTTTTTTTTTTGGCTAGTTAATATTTTTAAAGGAAAAAAGAAATAGCTCTGTTTTAACAAGTATTGTGTTAAAATGACAATGTCTCGCTCATTTTCAATATTAACTCGTGCTGAACAACGATACCCTGTTTTGTTGGGGATGCCTGTAGCCAGGATAATGGATACCTGGCAGAGATCCAACCTGAAAGCTCCTGGGGAAAAGAAACAATGGATACCCATCTTCATAGTACTACGCTCAAAAAGAGGAACTAATCCTTGTCACTTAAGAGTTTATTTGTGAAGCAAKGTGTTCACAGGGCTGCAAGAGAGATGCACGAGATTTACATCTGCAGCCTTTACTCCTGTTACTCCAGGTGGCAGCAGAAGGAAAAATGCAGGGCTGTGGTCAGGGCCTGGGGAGCTTGGACTGGCTGCTAATTTATGGCMCCTATTAGTTGTGCTGAAGTGCAAGTGACACATGTTGGGCTGCTTGTGCTGCAGTCCCACCTTTAGCTTGGTATCCAGACAAACCCTAGGAATACACACGTCTTGGAATACCCAAAGATTAGAAATGATGCATGCGATAGGAACACGTGCCGGGGGCACATCCAGCCTTGTTGCAATTTGATAGATTGCACTGAAGTTACAGCAGCTGAGAGCAGACACTCAGTGCTACTCCTTAAAGTAAGTGGTTTCCAGAGCAAACATACTGGTGTGCCCTAACTCTGCGACGTTACATGCGTGATATGGCTAGATACGATGCCACAAGGGAGGGTGTTCAAGCCCAGTGTGACTGCATTTATCAGTAGAGATGGTCTAGAAAACAAAGTGTGCAAAAACATTTTTTAAAACGCTCTTATAGAATTTAAAAGTCGTTAGTTGTTTTGACACTTTTTTGGGTCGAAACACTAGTCTTATTCAGGTAGTGATGCTGCAAGGAGCCGTCAGGGCGGAGGATTCCCGCGGTGGAGGGCGCCGGCGCTGCSCAACGATGTCCCGCAGGAGAGGCCACGGTCGGTGCTCACGGCGGTGCCCRGGGCTGTCCTCGTGCACCGTTCTGCGCCGAGCAGGAACGTCGCCGCGGCTTTCTGCTCACAGCAGCCTTCAGAAACACACCGTTTCGTTGGAAAGATCTTGACCATAAAACCACCCACCCCTTTCGCAAAACCATTCTGGTAAAACTTCTGTCCTCTTAATATCCGACATGGAAGATTTGCCAGAAATGGCTGTGGAGGGAGGGTGGATGTGTAGGGGCTGCAGATATAACTTGCCTTGTGGAGACATCTTCATGCAAAACACAGAACAAATTACCTTCAAGCTTTGAAGAGAAGGCACTTTCTGACTGCACCAAATGCTTTCCAAAATGCTGTGCTCTAACAAAAGCCTTGTAGAAACACAGTCCAATGTCAGCTGTCTTTTTTTCCCCCTCCCCTCTCCATTTGATGAGACAATGACCAACAGCAGAAGAGAGTGAAGAAAAAAATGAAGTGTGAAAAATGAAAAAAACGGAAAACCAAGGGTTACTTAACTAGGAGCAGAGGAGAGAGAGAGMTGGGACATGAAAAGCACTGCAGCAAAACTGTTAAAAAAAATGCAGTAAGTAAATGTGGGACATAAAAAGTACAAAAGCTCACAGGAACATGGGATGATTTTCCAAAGCTGAAAATAATTCATATATTTTCTGGCTAGCTGGCTAGTTTTGGAAGAGCTCCTATGTACCTGTGAGTCCCGYGCTGGAGATGGGCAGCCTAATTGTCATTGAACGTGTGCGTTTAATGAGGCTTCCAAGTTGCCCTTCGTGTTTACCTGTGTACACAGCCTGGACCACTTTTTTTGGTATACACCTGTGAAGTGTGGAATTTTGATAAATTTTAATAAAAATTCTTCAGATGGAATTTCATAGTAATATGATATAGGGTTTGTAGATGGAAAATCAGATATTTATTCCTTAGGAAGGTTCCGTAGGAAAGCCAAAATCCCTGAGCTGYTTCTGATTACATTTCACTCCTTTGATAACATTTCAGTAAGTAAAAAGCTGCTCTCCTCTTCTTACTGATGACAGATACTGAAACAAATAGCAAAGTGAGAACCATTAAAAGTTACTAAGAGTTGAAAAATGATATAACATACATTCAAACTTAGTTCTTTGATGTGGATCTTACATTACAGACTTTGCTGTTTAAGTTATCAAAAACTCACATTTTGACATACTGAATATTGGAACTGCTAGGCCTCAACCTCATGGCTTTGTCCCGTCCTTAGTTACAATTAAGGAAAAACTATTTGCATAAAATTAATGGTAAAGTTCTGAAAAGAAAAAAAAAATGCCTTTTTTTCCCTGATTTATCAATCCCATTGTGCAGAATTCTGTCAAAGCTTTAGACGCTCCAGCGAGTTGACTTTGTAAAGCAGCCAGAATGTGACGTGATAGTTAAGCTGTG